TTTTACGGTACTTCACTTTTTCAAAATAATCAACCCAAACCAGAAATAAAGCAAACATGGATTTAATATCAGCAATATGTTACCTTTACCTCACATTTCAACCTCACAAGCTGTTGGTGTTTTCTATCAAATAGAAATACCAATCCAATATTCGATCCAAGTCCAATGTAGTTTGTGTTCACATCGATACATGTTAGCTCAATATCAATGTTTTTAATCCCCTTTTGAGCTTTGTGTGGTAGAAGATTATGTAAATAAGATAGTGGCTTAAACTCTTTTAGTATCACATCTTTCCCAATCACTGACTGTGGTTCCAACACTGCTGGCGCAACTGAAATGTGAAGAAAATAAAACTTATATGAATAACTTGGTGTCCTGAATGAATGAACGTCATTGTCCATTTGATGAAAGAGGCTGATATACCATTATGTTAGTTATAAACAAAACAGAACATGTTTCGGATAAAATTCTGCAAAATATCTTTTCATTGTGTCTACTTTTAAGACTGAAATTTTGAAAAAAATACAGGTGTGTTCAGAACAACCTTCACAGCATCAAACCAAATTTAAACCTTTCACATGCATGTTAGTCTTTATAAGGTCACTGACCGCTTGGCAACGTGTAAAGGAATATGGTGTAGCATAACAATGAAATAGTCATACACACACGATGTAAAATCAATAGAAAAACAAAAGCTGTAAATAAAATAAAATAATAAAACTAGTATAATAATAGGAATTCAAAAACCAAATTCCAAAAAAAACATGAAGCTAATACAAACTTATTATTACAGAAACTCAGATTTTATGAAGATTACTAACACTTTTTTAGACAAACCTGACAGGTAGATGGCCAGTGGTAAAAAAATCACAGTCAAATACAATTAGTACAAACGTTCAATCTAGCAAACTAATATACTGCTGTGAGTCCCACGTGCAATTAAACATACCATTAGCTTTGTAACTTATCAACGCTGTCGTAATCTCAGGCTGTAGACACCGCCAGTCTAAATCCTTGTACGGCTTTTCATTATATATCGCTTCTATAACAGAGGGAGGCAGTGTAACTGGAATCTGTCCACTTGGACCATTCCCCATAATTAGGATATCGACACGATACAGCCAAGCTAGTTCGCAATTGCCCAATTTCAGCTAAAACATGACCACTGGGGTTAAGCAACTGTATAACCGATAAGGTGTGGTGTAAAAAGTTTAAACCTGACACGCTCCAGTGATAAACCAAAGTGTGCACTGAATAGTAAATCAGGTTACTGGAAAGTACAGTAGACCTATTGTTGCTCACCTACTTATGCTCAACACCATTAAACAACTCACAATATTTACAAAGTCAGTGTTTAAATATCCTTATCATTGGACTTCATCACTTGGATTTGTACATTGTAGCTTTCATTTATTTTAAAGATTTGTTTTTGTCCACGAAAAGACAGTTAAATGTTTATAAAACTAATCTGAAAATACGTTTACAGGGTCATTGAAATTGAGCCAAAGGTTAAACAGAAATCATGTTACAAGTCCCATATTATCGGCATACAGGATTGGATTTTAAAGAAAGAGTCTGCAATATGTGCGACAATAACCATGTTGAAGATGAACAACATTTTGTCATAAATTGTCCTCATTACAATGAAATAAGATTAAAACTTTACATTGTAGCTAATAAACGTATACCAAATTTTGACAAATTTAGTAATGAAAATAAATTCATATCATTACTAAGTGACGAGAATATGTCAATTCCTTTAGCGTAATATTTAAAAAACTGTTTTAATACAAGACAGCAGCACCTACATAAACTAAGCCAGTAACACATTCCTTGTATACAAACTTTTATCTTTTTTTTTTTAATGCTTTTTTTGTTATTTTTCTTTTACTAATATCTGATTTGTAACCCTTTTCATCCCCTCCGGGGGATGTTGTGTGTTAATAAATAAATGAATAAACGTAAATAAATAAATAAAATATCACCCCCCTGTACATACATTGTAATCCACAAACAATTTTGATACTAAAGTACCTGATTTTTTGAATTTGTTCGAATTAAAACATAACAATCCTACATGACCTATATTTTTTGTAAGAGTACACCCCCTCTGTACAATGTGAACAATAGACCCTTTGTCTTGTTAGTAGAGTCTGGGCATATAAAACTCTGCATCTATTATTTCTTCAAACTGGTATCCTGTCTCAGTGAATTATTTAATGTAGGTATGAAATTTCAAGGTCTCTGTTAAAAAGAGAAGGGGAGGGGTGATTTGAGGGAAATTCATTGAAGTGGTGTAAATTGTTTCAAGGGGTTTGAAGAGAAGAACATTCTAATACCTTTGTATGAAAATTTGTTAAACCCCCCCCCCCTCCCCAATTAATAGAAAATCAATTGTCAGGAAATTACCTAATTTCATTATGTTAATTAATCAGCACATTATGCAATTAATACATATAGATTGTATTACTTGTATTTAAAAACACGATATACTAGTACTGGCGAAGTGATTGACAGTGTGACTAGCCAATCAGTGGCTGCGTTGTAGCTGGGGATTTCTTGCATTAATAAGGGACATGGTGTTACTGCCCATAATTCCCCACTGCAAACTTTAAAACAGCTGGCCTGAAAAAGTTGTATGTGGAGTTACTATAAGCAGTGAATTTGTATTTCAGGTGTGGTCCTAGCTTCTGAGTGGCCAGTGTCAACAGGAAGTAGAAATCAGAGAACGATTTGTTGGCGGAGAAACTGTGTTGGCCTTGCCAAGTACTTGAAATAAAATTACAAAGCTGCCAGTGTATAAGTAGCTAACACCACAGGACATCACATAGTTGTTTGGGTCATGCCCTCACAAAACCCATCTGCCCTGGGGTGTTTTCCACCTTATCTGAACAGCATCCTCTAGAGACTGCATCTTTAATTCTCTTTTTTTTTTGGTGGGGTTTGGAATGGAATTTTTTATTATGATTTTTATTATGAATAAAATTAGCCAATTAACATTTGAATACATAATTCCAAAACAAGAGATGTGTTTTTATTTGCCCTAGTGCTTTTAATAATAAAATTATTCATAAAATAATCGATCAACAAATAGGTGTGAATCAAAATAAGCGACAACTGTATAATTAGTAACAGACTAAACTATGCATTATCTGGTTTTCATTCAAACTGAATAATAATCATCTTTATTGCGTTTGTATCCCTATTAGGATTTTGACTAAAATGCAATACAGATGTGAGTAAAGACAAACAAACAATTAAAGTGAGAATAAAAATACACACAGGAAAATAAAAACTTACAAGCAAATAAAAGTAGGGAAAAAAAAAAGTAAATTGGATTGTTCTCCATATTTGTGAATATTTGGATTACTAATGCATGTACATGACCTTATCTTGAGATAGCTGACTATATTGTTTTCAGTTTTTCCTCTCTTGTTTTGAAACAGTTCTCTATGTATTTTGTTATTTGTATTTTTGTTTTCTCATC